GTGACTACCGCCGCCCATGAACAACTGCAACACCAGGGAGGGAATTGCAGATGCGTTGCCGGCCTTTTAAAAAGGAGTAGGCTCTTTTCTTGAAGGTCTCTAAGTCGTATCGGTCCGGAAAAATCGCTGATGGTAATCGATTTCACAAGGAAGTCGTGCGAGGAAGAAAACATCTTCTAAATCGCACAGTGGTGGACCGCCAATCATCCAGATGGTGTGGATGGTATCGGGAGTTCTGCCGCGATGTGCGTTCGTGAAATTTGGCGGCTGGGATTAATCCGAACAATTCCTCAGAGCACTCCCCATGGTAGATGCGAAAGAAAATGCAAAGGAATGCAACATCTCTTCGCAGTGCCAATGAATCGAGCCGATCGGAAAGGGCTCGGTCGTCGACGATTCGAGCCGCTCTGCGCTGGATGCGGTCAAGTGGAAGGATCTGGCACTGGGGAGCCCCTGCCCAGAGATGGGAACAGTATCCCATGTGAGGCCGAACCTGCGCCTTGTAAAGTTGCAGGCGGTGTGCCGGCATGAAATACTGTCCCGCTCTGCTGAGCACGCCAAGCTTTTTAGAGGCCAATTTGGCCTTCTCTTCCAAGTGACCACGAAACTGCACGTCACTCGATATGTCCACTCTGAGGATACCGATACTGGCTGAGGCAAGAAGGGGAGTGCCTTGAAACTGAGGAGATACGACAAAGGGGTTCTTTTTAGCGGTAAACGCGCAAACTTGTGTCTTATGAGGATTAAACTGGACTAGATTTAGTCGCCCCCAATCCGAGACTTTGTTCAACAAAAACTCGACTTCAGACACAAGTTTGTTCCGGTACTCGGCGACGTTTTCCCGAGAAATATTGGCACGGCCGGTGTATAGAGCATCACCAGTGCTGTCGTCCGCATAGCAATGAATGTTACCAGTTAGCAACATATCATTGATATGCAGAAGAAACAGCGTTGGTTATAGCACACAGCCTTGTGGAACACCAGCGTTAATAGGCTTGTAGTCAGAACATGCACCGTCTACAACAACCTTGATGCTCCGATCTGCAAGGAAGCTGGTGATCCAATTGCATAATTTCTCGGGAAGCCCATAGGAAGGGAGCTTCGAAAGAAGCGCTTTGTGCCAAACCCGATCGAAGGCCTTCGCAATGTCCAGACTAACGGCCAACGCCTCCCCCTTGGACTCTACTGCCTCCGCCCATCTATGGGTCAGGTAGACCAGAAGATCACCAGCTGATCGACCCCGACGAAAACCGTATTGGCGGTCACTAATCAGCTGGTGATCCTCAAGGTACCGGATGAGCTCGCAGTTAATAATGGATTCCATTATTTTGGAGAACAAGGAGGTGTTCGCGATAGGCCTATAGTTGGACGGGTCTGAGCGGTCGCCTTTTTTAGGAATCGGGTGGACAAAAGCTGTCTTCCATGAGTTCGGGACTACGCCTTGGGAGTAGGAGTACCGGAAAAGATGCGTTAGGACCGGTGCCAACTCCGGAGCACACGTCCTCAGCACAATTGGGGGGATTCCGTCAGGCCCACTCGACTTCTGGATATCCAGGGAGAGAAGTGCTTTGCGAACCGAGCGCTGAGAGAACAGCACATCCGGCATGGAGCACTCACACCGCGGGATGGTCGGCGGTGTTTTCCCCCCGTCATCAAGAGTCGAGTTGGACGCAAAAAGAGAGCCTAAAAGGTCAGCTTTGTCTTTTGCGTCTTGGGCCAGTGTGTCGTTCTCCCTGTGCAGAGATGGTAGTGATGGCTTACAGAAATTCCTTTGGACAGCCTTGGCGAGAGACCAGAATGCACGGGTTCCCGAAGGAAGGCGAACTAGTTTCTCGCCAATTCTGCCTATGTGCTCTGACTTTGCCTTGGCAATAACTCTTTTGAAGGACCTGGAGGCGAAGTTATACTTCTTTTTAAGTGTGCTGGTATTTACATCCCAAGTCGCCGAAGCCGCAGCCCAGGCTTGAAAACACTCCTGCTTACTGCGTAATGCAGTCTTACAGGAGCGACCAAACCAAGGCTGAGATCTGCCTCCGATGGGTACCACAGATGATGGAATAAATAGTTCCATTCCCTGTAGCACCACATCAGTGACAGAGTCAGCAACAGCGCTGGGATCATCCGGCGAGAAGCAAACCCGCCTCCATGGGTAGGATGCAAAGAAAGACCGCATTCCGTCCCAATCCGCCGACCTGTAATGCCAAACACGGCGGCAACCTGCAGAACGCAACCGCGAGGGGAGCGTGAGTGGCACCACACTCCGGATCAGACAATGGTCCGAAGAGCCGAGAGGGGCATCGACGGAAAACTGATATCCGTCCGGATGAGAGGTCAGCAGAAGGTCCAACAGGGAAGGTGTATGATCCTCCACATCTGGAATCCGCGTAGGCGAAGTAACCAGTTGTGTCAGACCATATGCCAAGGCAAAGTCATAAACAGATCTCCCCGCATGATCGGTAAAACGTGAACCGAGCCATTCGGCATGGTGGACGTTAAAATCGCCAAGGATCACGATCTCTGCTGATGGGACCTGTTGTAGCAAGGAATCTGTAGCCATTTGGACGTGGTCGATGAGTCGGTCTGTTTCGGCATTACCGCTATGGGACCTATAGAGGCACCCGTAGACGCGCGGATGGTCGTCGCTGTCTACGCGTAACCAAAGGATGGACAGGTCCGAACCTTCAAGACTGCCGAGGCGTCGAGAACAGATGTCCTCTCTGACATACACGCAAACTCCAGCCCGAGGCACAAAGGAGTGCTCCAATTTGTACCCCGGGTAGGAGAGATACGAAGTATCAGCCGGAGAGGACAGCTGCGTCTCGGTCAGAAAGAGCAAGGCCGGCTTCGCCGTCTCAAGATGGTAGTGGACGGCGTTTAGGTACGAGTGAAGTCCCCTGAATTTGCAGAAATTCACGGATAGCGTGGCAGGGGTCGCCTTGGTCTTGTTGCTCAGTTTGCCCCGAGCAGTTATGTTTTTGAGCGGAATTTTGCCCCCCCCCCAGAATACGCGGGGCAGCCTAAGCACCCACGCTCAGGATTGGAATAATATGGTCGTGGATGCTCAGCGAGGGATTTTCCAGGGGTACCAACCCGGCTCGAGCCGGCCCATACGTGCAACAGCAAAAACTGCTGCGTGGCTCTACTTTCTCTCTGTCACCTCGTACGACACCTACTAGACGATATGGGGTGTTGGATGTTCTTACACCGGCACTACACAGTCAAACTACTCGTATGTATAAACCGCTTAAAATATTAAACTGTGTATAAACTCCTTAATAATATATTAGTATAAGTATTCCTCTATATAATGGATTTACTTCTTAAAATAGACGACCTTTAAATACTCGTATTAAGCAATAAATCGTTTTTTTATTCTTACAAGTCTTATTATTTCTAATACATTTTCAAATTGCTGCTCATAATTGATTATGTATTTTGACCTTTAGCTAGACGAATCCAAAGACAATATTCTTGATAAAAAATACTGACCAAAACTTTGTAGTTTTTTACCGTTTTACATATTGTTTATGTGTATACTAACTTCTCGGATTAAAGGCCAATACAACTTTTTTCACTTTTCGACTGTCTGTCTGTCTCTTTGAACATAGGTGCTGAAACTACTGAATGAATTTTGATGAAACTTGGCATTGTTATAATTAATACTCTGGAATAACATTCAAGATAATAGTTTCGGTCAAGTAGCGTGGTTAATATCAAGTTTGTCGAAAATTAAAGATAAAGTTATCCAAATATTAAGCAAGGTACAAAAGGTAAAAATCTTGAAAAATTACAAACTTTTTTAACTGAGTTAGCCACCGCTACTGTGTTTTGTATCCAGTATATTTTCAGGTTATTAGGTATTCTAAGTCCTCAAAAGTGACAATGCATCTGTGGCCTTCTTTGTTTGAAGTTGGCTGCAGGTGTCTATGGTCTGCAATAGCTACTAGGTGGAATCTAAGTTCGTTTGTCATCACTTTAGTTTTATAGAAATATATACACGATCATGACCCAATGCACCCGAGTGCGGCAGAGCTGAGAGCACACAGATAGAGTATTGTAATGTTGAAATTACAGATGCATGATGGCGCGCGGAGGAGGACGTTGTTGAATTTTTTTTTTATAAAGTTCGCATGTCGTATTTTTAGACACGTTGTCCGCAGCTGAACTCCCGTATCGCGCTTATACCTTGTACTATTCAGAAATCTGAGCACATCTAAGTTATGCAACTGCGACGCTATTACGAAACGTACGAGTAGTTAATAGAGACAGAGGTCTTAACAGTGCGTGGTACCGGGAAATATGATTTTAATTATTAAATTTTACTCATACGGTGTATCTTTATCGAATTCCAATCATACAGTATGAGTTGTACCCAACAATTTTTCTTACCGCCTTAAGCTTGTGTAATTTCCTGTCAGCATCTGCCTTGCTGTAGCAATTGAAAAAGCACGGACAGATGTTTCTCACGGCGGATGTGGATCTTATCACTAGCTGTAGTCACGGTCAGTTGCTTTACTGCGATATAGCCAACGTTTTTTGTGTACTACGCTCCATGCAACCATGTATAGAAGTTTCTAAGGCGAGTTCATAAGTTGAATTCATATTATTTTAATGAAATTAAGTATTACCACATTAAAATATCTTGTTATGAATTACGGTATGAGAATATTCACTACCCCATATTATCCCATGGGTGTTGTAAGAGGCAACAAAGGGAAACAAACCAGAAGGGCAGAAGCGTCTTCCTCATAAAAACTAGAAAATAACTGCGGTTACCGGCTCATCTACCAAGTAAGGCTACCATGACAAGTATACTCAATACTCGTACGTATACCTCAAGTACCTTATGAGACAATGTTTGCAGAGACCATTGTTCAGCAGTGGAGTTCGATAGGCCGTAATAATGATGATGATGTTCTTTCTTCCTTACTTGTACTATGGTCAGCACTTTTTATGTAAATTAACATGTTCATTATTTTATAAAACATAACAGTTATTACCGAGTTGAACTGCAGTTTTAGCTGCAAGGAATGCGTGTTGAGGGTGTCACAGAGTGGCGTGTCCTTTGGCGAACATTGCTTCTTCAGGCTGTCTATCTGGCGAGCGAGGTCGTTTATCTTATCTGATGCGACAACTGCCAGCGCCCCCGCTTTCATACTTATGTTACGAAGAGAGGCAATTTTCGTTGATAGATCTTCACTTTCTACAAATGTTTATATTTTTTTAATACATACAATACATGCAATAGATTATTATTCATGTAATAATTATTGTTTAGGCGATTTTTAGTTTCAACAATAAGTAAAAGTAAAATTTTCTCTTCAAGCGCTTTACATTAGCTTGACCTGTAGGTATGGGTGTATTTACGTTTGTATTGGAGTTTGATAATTTAGTTTTTATTATAGATGCCTTTTTTACTTATTAGCTTTCAGCCGTCTGTAGTTTGTATATTTTTAAGTATGACTCTTTTAAGATGAATAATTTGTCATAATATATTAACTTTACTTTTAAATATAATTTAACATGTTAATAATTAAAATATGTATTTAACTTATATGTGCTATATAAATGAAGTAGGTAAAAGAACAATTAAAAAAGCATTTCCCAACAGCGGTTTTAATTAGATTACTTATTACTAACTAACCATAATAATTAAATTTCTTAAATTATTTTATTTTTTAACAACACATGTGTACACACACACACACACACACACACACACACACACACACACACACACACACACAAACACACGCGCGCGCGCGCGCGCGCTCATCGTTTGGTTTTGATTATTTTCACCCTTTTTATTTCTTTCGTTTTTTTATGTTAACAAGCTAATTATTTTTTCATTTGTACATTTTTTTTATTTGTGCTAACCTGTACTGTGTATACTGTCTAGTATGAAATTGTGAAATAGTATTTAGAAATAAAAGACCCAACTTTTCTTGGTTAAGTTGAATAAAAGTTTAGACTTTGTCTTTGACTATCTTCATTACTATTGTTTAAGTTTTCTCCGTTTCATTATTTCAAATTTTAAGTCCAGTGCTGAATATAGGTTATCATAAAAAATGTGACAGCACGTTAGCATTATTTGAAAACATATCAGCACTTGACCGGTAATATCTATTCTATTTTTTATTAAATCTTTCTGTCATAGAGGAAGTGAATATTACGTATAAGCCTCCGCGAATAGGATGTTATGCCCACCTCCAGTTAGTAAAGAAAAAATATTTTAGTAGGGACAATTTTGTTAAGTCCCACTGTAAGTCCGATTATAAAGTAAACCAAATATAGTTAGAAATTAGCATTATGAATAATTAGTGTTACAAAGCCACATTTAGGAGCATCTTGACTTTAAAACGGTACCTGTAATTATGTCAGCCACGGAATCGAGGACCAAATCAATACCGCTCTCAGAAGCAATCGCGTGTTGAATTGGCACGCCCAGCAATGTATTTACATCTGTAAATAATAATATTGATAGATATTAAGAAAACAGTAAGTCAAAGTTATTCTCAACTTTAATCCAGGATTAATGAAGTATCAATAAATAAAATAGTTCGATGGTCCGCTAGTGCTGTAGTTGATCCAGGTCATGGGTTCGTTCCCCCCACGGGCCAATTATTAATATGCTCTACAAACAAATTTTTAAAATCTTGGTTTGGTTTATGTTCAATTTATATATTACGTAAAATTCTTCAACGACACAGAAAGAAATTCTTATTATTTATTATTGTATTTATTATTACATCTGAATGGTCCTTGAACTGTATAAATATTTCACTTTATTCATTAATGAAAAGTGAGTACGTACGTAGGTATGTATTTATTGGGACTGAATGCAATACTTCGCCTAGTAATTTTGGGCGAGAAGTTGTCAATATTCTTGTCACCACCTACTATACTTTCTTACACGTTTTATAACACGCATTCGATCAATTCTTGACTTATGAAGTATAAAATACATACCTAGTAAAGATTGAAAATAAATATAACAGTAAAGGAATCGTTTTGTTTTTATGTACAAAAACATAAAAAAGCAGTCAAAGTAATGCTTACATATAATGAAAAGCCTATGTAGGTCTCGCTACTGGCTACATGTCTCCTCATAAATTTGTAAGGGTTTCAAAGGCGGAGCCATAGATATAATTCTATAAGCAGAGCAATATTTTTTTATTTTTCCTAAGCTGCCGAACACGTGGTAAGTCAGCACTTAAGCTTGTAATAATTTCTTTAACGTTAACCAGTGTATAATTGCCACATGAGTGCTGAATTCTTTGATTTTGTTACATTTTTTGGAAAATAAAAATAAGAAGTCTTTAAAAATGTGTCGTCAACAAGAACTAAAGAATAATAGACCATTAATTTTGATACACTTTTTTACAGTTTCATTTCTCTGTATTGATTTAGTGTCATTTTTTTATCAAGCCAATTAATATGAACTAAAATGAAAAATAAGAATAAGATGATATATAAATATATGAAAATATATAGAACAAGTAAGCGTTTAAAATTTTATGAAATAATTTGTTTTACGCAATAATTACATTTCAGTAGGGTACTACAACGTTGCTTTAACAGCCTGTGCACGTCTCATAAAACCTCAATGTTGCTATAAATAAAACGCAACAAAAATTAACGTTTAATAAAATCTAAAAGCCGACTGCTAAGAATTAAAAATGATAATTAATTTTGTAGTCACTATTAAGACATAGTGTAGAGAATAATTATAACCCCCACTATAGAACGTGAAATTACTTCTTTTTTTAGTTGTTTGCATCATCATCATCATTACAGCCCTTCACAAGTCCACTGCTGAACATAGGCCTCCCCCAAAGAATGCCACAAAGCACGGTCCTGAGCCACCTGCATCCATCGACTTCCTGCAAATCTTACCAGGTCGTCACTCCATCTAGTGGGGGGACGCCCTACACTTCGCCTGCCGGTACGAGGCTGCCACTCGAGAACCTTTCTTCCCCATCGGTTGTCGGTTCTTCGAGCTATATGGCCGGCCCATTGCCACTTCAGCTTACTAATCCGTTGGGCTATGTCGGTCACTCTAGTTCTACTGCGGATATCCTCATTTCTGAGTTTATCACGCAGAGAAACTCCGAGCATAGCCCTCTCCATAGCTCGCTGAGCGACCTTGAGCTTCCTCATCCGGCCAGCAGTGAAGGACCACGTCTCAGTTCCGTATGTCATCACTGGCAACACGCACTGGGTGTACAGTCTCGTTTTCAAGTTTTGAGGTATACCTGACGAGAAGATGTGCCGTAATTTCCCGAACGCTGCCCAACCGAGTTGAATCCGTCGATTGACCTCTCGGTCGAAGTTGGACTTACCTAGTCGGACTATTTGTCCCAGGTAAACATACTCGTCAACAACTTCGAGCTTAGTGTTCCCAACAACTACCGGCATAGGTGTGACATGGACATTAAACATGATCTTTGTTTTGTCCATGTTCATCTTAAGACCTATCCGTTGGGAAACACTATTGAGGTCATTGAGCATAGTGCTTAGGTCCTCCAGCGATTCTGCCATAAGGACTATATCGTCGGCAAATCGAAGGTGAGTGATGTACTCGCCATTGATGTTGATACCGTATCCTTTCCAGTCCAGAAGCTTGAAAACATCTTCCAATGCAGCGGTGAAGAGTTTGGGGATATGACGTCACCCTGTCTTACACCTCTCTGCAATTGGATAGGTTTCGTACTCTGGTTCTGTACTCGGATAGCCATCGTAGCCCTACTGTACAAGCACTTCAACACTTCGATATACCGACAGTCAACTTGGCATCGCTGAAGGGACTGCAGCACCGCCCAAATTTCGACGGAATCAAAGGCTTTCTCATAGTCCACATACGCCAGACATAGTGGCAAATTGTACTCCTCGGACTTCTGTACAATTTGCCGAAGGGTATGTATGTGGTCTATGGTGCTAAAGCCCTTTCGGAATCCGGCTTGTTCGGGAGGCTGGAAGTCGTCAAGTCTGCGCGCGAGACGATTCGTAATGACTCTCGAAAACAGCACGTAGACGCGGCTCAGAAGGGAAATCGGTCTGTAGTTCTTCAAGAGAGCGTTGTCACCTTTCTTGAAGAACAAGACCACCGCACTTCTGCTCCACGCCTCCGGTGTAATGCCACCATGGAGGACGGAATTAAAGAGCTTCTGAAGGACTTCAAGTACCGGTTTTCCACCCGCTTTCAGAAGCTCCGCTGTAATTCCATCCTGGCCAGGGGCCTTGCCGTTTTTAAGGTGCTGGAGAGCCATTCTAATCTCGCTCAGACTGACGTCCGGGATATCATCGGAATAATGTCGGATAAGACTCGCTCTTGGATCGTTACTCACACTTGCGTGTGGCTCCAACGATGACGTGTACAGCTGCCCATAGAACCTCTCAATCTCACTCAAAATCTCAGGTGCCCCGGAAACGATGCTGCCACATTCGGTCTTCAGCTTTGACAGTTGGCTCTTTCTGGCAGACAGATCTCTGGCAAAGACTTTGGAGCCTTGGTTCCGCTCGATCGCTTCTTCAATACGAGCTGTATTGAAGTTGCGCAAGTCCCGCCGCATGCATTTGGAGATCTGTCTGTTCAGTTGCCTGTATGCTGTCAAATCTGTTGAAGAATGTAGCTTCATCTCCCGTCTAACAGCCATGAGATTAAGAGTGTGATCGGAGAGTTTTTGTGTTCTTCTGCGGCGGGTCTTGCAGAACTTAGCTCCGACCGCATGGACAGTTTCCACGAGCTTGTCATTCAAATCGTCCACTTCATTGCAGTCTTCTAGGCACTGAAAACGGTTTTGCAACTCGAGCTGAAAGGTTTCGGGACTTTGGATTAGAGCACGAGGGGGACGGAGCGTTGACTTCATTAGACGAGACCTCTCCAACTTAACGTTTAGGTTCAGTGTGCCTCTAACCATTCGGTGATCGCTGCCGGTTTTCACCCTCGCGATCACTGAGACATCACTGAACAGTTGTCGTCTGGTCGTCATAATGAAGTCAATCTCATTTTTTGTCGAACCGTCGGGGCTCGACCAGGTCCACTTCCTGTGGGGCCGCTTCTGGAAGAAAGAGTTCATCATAAAGAGTCCCTCTTTCTCCATGAAGTCGGCCAACTGCTGGCCCCTTGGGTTCCGTTGCCCTATTCCAAATTTCCCCACTTTCACCTCACCGTTCTCTCTTGTGCCTAGTTTTGCATTGAAGTCTCCCATTAACACCGTATATTGGGTTTTGGAGGAATGCATGGCTCTAGAGATATCCTCATACATTTCCTCCACCTCCTGATCGGGGTGTGCCGAGGTTGGTGCGTAAACCTGTATGACCTTCAGCGAATACCGTTTGGTGATTCTGAGTATAAGGTACGCAACCCTCGTCGACACACTCTCAATCTTTACAACGTTGTTAACGAGAGACTTGTGGACGATAAATCCGACACCTCCTTGGGACAGATGGTCGCCCTCCCGGTGACAGAGCAAGTTGCCGGATTCGAGGATTACCGTGTCCTCCCCCTCTCTTCGGACTTCGGATAATCCTATAATATGCCAGCGTAACTTGTCTATCTCTTCTTCCAGCTCCACAATCTTCTCGTCAGTCCTCAGGGTGCGTGCGTTGTATGTTGCCAGGTCGAGTCGTTGTAGGTGGCAACCGAACCTCCACCGGAGATTCTTAGCACCCCCTGCCCCGCCGTTACCATGGTCGCCACCGTAGCCAGGAATAGCGGGGCCGCCGGGGACTGGGGGCCGTCTCTTCGTAACTTTCATTATGGGGGGTATATTGCCATAGTTGCCACGCTTGGCGAGCGGGTTGGCAACCGCAGTTTTTTATTGTATTTTGTCGTTACCAGGAAGATGCTGCTGCCCATCTCCTGCCTGTTTCCCTTTGTCGCCTTTTACGACACCCACGGGAAGATATGGGGTAGTGGATATTCTTAACCGCCACTACACGGCATGTTTGCAATCGGCTTTTAATTTATAAAAGCTAATGTTTTGCCCTTTGGATGGATTAAGGAAAAGTTACCCCCATTTTTCAGCCTTATGGGGGAGTCATTTTTCTCCGAATATATATGGGACTACCCCTGAAATATAACCTATTTATAAAAAAATAACTTCATGAAAATTGGTTCATAACATAATTAGCGAAGATATCGCATAATATACACAAACAAAACATACAGTCGAATTGTTTACCTCCTTCCATTTTTTTTAAGTCAGCTAAAAATAGCAACACCTGTGTTTACATACATACTGTGTTTTAAATTATATGTAAAATTTTATTTTTATTATTTGTTAGAATTGCTGCACGTAACAATAAAAGAGGTGTATTCGTTGGGTGAAATTCAATTTCGAAAGGGTACACCACCGTAATGTACAGTAATGTACTTTTACGTTTATGAGCGCCGTTTGCTACAGAATATAATATACAATAGGCCTTCTCATATGAACAGGCATCTATATGAAGGTTTACTAACATTCGTATAGTAAGTAAACAAGTGTTCGAAGCATCTTTATCAGTTTGCACTCCGCAGAAGGTAAATAAGACGTCTATTTCGCCGGAAGGTTTTATTACGTCTCTTCGTATCTGTATAATATTATACGTCCCATCAACGTGTTTGTACCGGAAACTTAAGGTTTGCTCTCTACATTATCAAGGGCATCGCGCACTTTTGGCAAGGATAGGCTCGTTAACCGTATGTGGAAACTCAAATAGCTGTTTGATATTTGCGGGCAAACAAAATTTTGTTGGGTCCAAAGAGTATAAAGGGCTCTTGAAAGGGGTTGTATGTTACAAAACAGATATCAGAATTTATAGATGAATGAGCTTTGGTACAATAGTGCAAACTTGTCCTTATCCTACCTATATTTCCATAAAGATACTCGGTATAGTGATGATAAATATTTACAATTCAATATTCAACTTGAAAGCAATAAAAATGTTTTATGAAAACAGAAAAAAAATGTGGTTATCATTATTCCAAGTCAGGAAATAAATGTATGATCCAGATTGTAAAATATCGTTTTGTAAATTTGTAATTGTTTTTTAGCTCTGGTCATTATATATATTTATAAAAGTATAGGTGACGTAAAATTTTCCTGATGGTAAGCCAATGTTGCGGCCTAGACTAGACCTTGACGGCTCCGTGGCGCAGTGGCTTAGCAATGAGTTGCTGGTCTGGGGGGCGCGGGTTCGAATCCCGCACGGAACAAGTATGTGTATGGCCTACAAATAAATGTTCCGGGTCTGGATGTTTGTCCTTGTGCAATTTGTGTTTGTAAACTGCCTCCACGATACAGGAGGAAATCCTAGTGTGGGGGTAACGTTTTTTAAAGAAAAAATAGAAAAAAATAGAGATACATACATCTTATTTTCTTATAGAAGAGGGGGCAAACGAGTATTCGGCTCACCTGATGGTAAGTGACTACCGCCGCCCATGAACAACCGCAACACGAGGGGAATTGTAGATGCGTTGCCGGCCTTTTAGAAAGGTGTAAGCTCTTTTCCCTCAAAGGTCCCTAAGTCGTGTCGGTCCGGAAAAATCGCCGGTGGTAAACAATTTCAAAGAGAAGTTGTACGAGGAAGAAAACTCCTAGTAAAACGTACAGTCGTGAACCACCAAGTATCCATCTGGATACACCATCTGGTGAGGATGGTATCGTGACTTTTGAAGCAATGTGCGTTCGTGAAATTTGGCGGCTGAAATTAATCCGAACAATTCCTCAGAGCACTCCCCGTGGTAAATTCGATAGAAAATGCAAAGGGATGCAACATTCCTACGCAGTGCCAGTGTATCGAGCCGATCAGAAAGAACTCGGTCGTCGACGATTCGAACCGCTTTGCGCTGAATGCGGTCAAGTGGAAGGAGCTGGCACTGGGGTGCCCCGGCCCAGAGATGAGAACAGTATTCCACGTGAGGCCGGATTTGCGCTTTGTAAAGTTGCAAGCGATGTGTCGACATGAAATACTGCCTCGCTCTGCTGAGCACGCCAAGCTTTTTAGAGGTCAATTTGGCCTTCTCTTCCAAGTGACCACGAAACTGCACACTATTAGATATGTCGATGCCGAGGATTCCGATGCTAGCTGAGGCAGCAAAGGGAGTGCCTTGAAACTGAGGAGATACGACAAAGGGGTTCTTTTTAGCGGTAAACGCGCAAACTTGTGTCTTCTGGGGATTGAACTGGACTAGATTTAGTCCGCCCCAATACGAGACTTTGTTCAGCAAAGACTCGACTTCAGACACAAGCTTGTCCCGGTACTCGGCGACGTTTTCCCGAGAAATATTGGCACGGCTGGTATGTAAGGATTCACCAGTTCTGTCGTCTGCATAGCAATGAATGTTATTAGTTTGCAACATATCATTGATATGCAGGAGAAACAGCGTTGGTAATAGGACGCAGCCTTGTGGAACACCAGCGTAGATAGACTTGAAATCAGAGCATGCACCGTCTACTACGACCTTGATGCTCCGATCAGCAAGAAAACTGGTGATCCATTTGCACAATTTCTCGGGAAGCCCATAGGAAGGAAGCTTCGAAGGAAGCGCTTTGTGCCAAACCCGATCTAAGGCCTTCGCTATGTCCAAACTAACGGCCAATGCCTCCCCCTTCGACTCTACTGCCTCCGCCCATCTATGAGTCAGATAGACTAGAAGATCACCAGCTGATCGACCCCGACAAAAACCGAACGGGCGGTCACTAATTACCTGGTGATCCTCAAGGTACCTCATGAGCTGGCAGTTTATAATGGATTCCATTATTTTGCAGAACAAGGAGGTAATGGCGATAGGCCTGTAGGATTTTGGATGGATCTGAGCGGTTGCCTTTTTTAGGGATCGGGCGGACCAAAGCTGTCTTCCATGAATTCGGGACTACGCCTTGGGAGTAGGAGTATCAGAAAATATGCCTTAAAACCGGTTTTGGCTGTTTTGGCTCCTTAGCACACGTCTTCAGCACAATGGGAGGGACTTCATCAGACCCACTTGACTTGCTGACGTCCAGGGAGAAGAGTGCTTTACGAACCGAGCGCTGTGTAAATCGCACATCCGGCCTGGAGCACTCATACCGCGGGATGGTCGGCGGTGTGTTCCCCCCGTCATTTAGAGTGGAGTTTGCGTCCGCAAAGAGAGAGCTTAAAAGATCTACTTTCTTCTTTGCGGTATGGGCCAGTGAGTCGTCCTCTCTATGCAGAGATGGAAGAGATGGCGACAGAAGTTCCCTTGGACAACCTTGGCGAGAGACCAGAATGCACGGGTATCCGAAGGAATGAGGACTAGCTTTTCGCCAATTCTGCCGATGTGCTCAGACCTTGCCTTGGCAATGATGATTTTGAAGGACCTGGAGGCGGAATTATACTTCTTTTAAGTGCGCTGGTGTTTACATCCCGAGATATTGATGCGTCAGCCCAGGCCCGGTAGCACTCCTGCTTTAGGCGCGATGCTATTTTACAGGAGCGACCAAACCATGGCTGGAATCTGCCTCCGATGGGCACCACAGAGGATGGAATAAAAAGTCCCATAACCTGATTTACCATATCGGCAACAACGCTGGGATCTTCCGGCGAGAAGCAAGCCCCTCTTAAGGGTAGGATGCAAAAAAAGACCGCATCCCGTCCCAATCGGCCGACCTATAGTGCCAAACACAGTGGCAAGCTGCAGATCGCAACTGCAATGGGAGCGTGAGTGGCACCATGCTCCAGATCAGACAATGGTCCAAAGAGCCCAGAGAGCGATACCCCTGATATCCGTTTGGATTTGAGGTCAGCAGAAGATCCAACAGGGAAGGTGCATGGTCCTCCACATCTTGGATCTGTCTAGGCGAAGTAACCAGTTGTGTTAGACCATATGCTAAGGCAAAGTCATAGGACAGATCTACCCACATGATCGGTTAAACGAGAACCGAGCCATTCAGCATGGTAGGCATTGAAATCACCGAGTATCACGATCTCTGCGGATGGTACCTGTTGTAGCACGGAGTCTGCAGCCATTTGGACGTGGTCGATGAGTCGGTCTGTGTCAGCATTACCGCTATGGGACCTATAGAGGCACCCGTAGACGCGGGGATGGTCGTCGCTGTCTACGCGCAGCCATAGAATGGACAGGTCCGTACCTTCAAGACTGCCGAGGCATCGAAAACAGATGTCCTCTCTGACGTATACGCAAACTCCAGCCCGGGGCAAAAAGGAGTATTCTAATTTGTACCCCGGGTAAGACAGACATGAAGTATCAGCCGGAGAGGACACCTGAATCTCGGTTAAAAAGACCAAGGCCGGCTTAGCCGTCTGTAGATGGTGATGGACAGCGTTAATGTTGGAATGAAGTCCCCTGATGTTGCAAAAATTCACGGATAGCGTGACAGGGGTCGCCTTGGTCTTATTGCTCCGCTTGCCCCGAGCAGCATAAGTCGCGAGCGGAATTTGCCCTCCCCCCCCCCCAGAACACGCGGGGCAGCCTGAGCACCCACGCTGAGGAGTGGAGAAGTTTGGTCATGGATGCTAAAGGCTTAGGAATGCCTCGTTACCAGTAAAAAGGATCTCCGTCTCTTTACACTCGCCATACAAAACACAGCAGCATTATAGGGCTATTTTGGTATTTTGCGAGAGTGTTGTCCTTTCCCAGTCAAGCAGACCTATTAGTACTGCAGCTTTTATTACCATTAGAAATAACTTTATATAAAAGACCCTAAAGGAAGGCACAATTATAGGAACTTAGATAGTTTTCCAAAAAAAAAAAACAATGTTATGTCGATAACATACCATAAATAAAAGAATTTTTTTTTTATAAAACCTTTACCTAACCCCCCACAATAGGATTTTCTCCTGTATCGTGGAGGCAGTTTACAAACACAAATTTCACAAGGACAAACATCCAGACCCGGAACAATTATTTGTAGGCCATACAAATACTTGTTCCGTGCGGGGTTTGAACCCGCGGCCCCCAGCGCAGCAACTCATTGCTAAGCCAATGCACCACGGAGCCGTTATAAAAAGAAAAAAAAAAGATGTAAAAACGAAGTTTATAAAAAAAGATAAATCTTAAAGAATTCACAAATCTTGAATTTACGCAATATTTAGTTTGTATTGATTGCAGTACAGTTCAGTTGAACATAGTCAATGTTCGGAATGGCTTCTCTAGTACGTAGTACATATAACTCAATGTTCCGTACTGTCTTTTACTATGCTACTACTCTTATAAAATAAGAACTCTAAAAAAATCATTCCATTAAAGAAATGCACTCTTGGAGGCATTATTTTTATGTGCAGTCTATGCAATATTAAATTTTGAGTAGGTTTTGTGGTATTCATTAATATTGTTATTTTTATATTAATGATGAACGGGAAGAAGTATATTACTTACTTTTTAAGTCTTCTTGATAAGCGTAAAAAACTAGATCTATCGGCGGAACCAGACAGTGATGAAGTTCGCGGGCAGCGACCGCCAACCATGCGGCTATATCTGCGCACGCACAGTTGACCACATTGCGGCTGCTGGCTGCTGCCAAATGTGACTGTTCGTTACTTAATATCATGCCACCTATAAGGATGCTGTGAACAAAACCACTTTGCTAAAAATGATATAACACCCAGCATATCTTTTATATTTAGAGCTGATTAAAAAAATATATACAAATTAAAAATTACAGCTGGATCAATCATCATCATCATTATTACAGCCTTTAACATGCCCACTGTTGAACATAGGCCTACCCCAAAGAATGCGACAAAGCACGGTCCTGAGCCACTTGCATCTATCGACTTCCTGTATATCTTACCAGGTCATCACTACATCTAGTAGGGGCCGACCCACACTTCGCCTATCGGTACGAGAATGCTACAGAGAACGTCCCTATCGGTTGTCAGTCCTTCGAGCTATATGACCGGCGCATTGCCACTCAGCTTACTAATCCATAATGAAGCTATATATTATTATGGTTGTAGCGCGAATGGGCAGGCTCGATCGAGGAAGAATTTTACGTGGTAGAGCCATGCTGCAGCTATATTAGTAGTATAGTTGTAGCACGAATGGGTCGGCTCGACCGGGGAAGGACCACGCTCTCACAGAATACCAGCGTAAAATGGCAACTTGACACTGCTGTGTTTCGTATGGTGAGTGTAGAGAACCGGAGACCCTTTTTACTGGAAAAGAGGTATTCTATCTTAGTCCTCACGGCTGACAAATGCTGCATTTTGATTCGCAAACGAGCATAGATGTCACAGGTTAGGATAGGACAGGTTAGATAGGTTGCCATAGCAAACATTTACCATGAGGTGGACTGTGTGCTCATTTGTCATCCTATTCTATAAAAAAAGAACCAGGCTCCCATAGAATACCAGCGTAAAATAAGCAATTTTATGCTGCTGAGTTTCGTATGGTAATTGTAGAGGTGTGGAACTTTTTAACTGAACTTTTTACTGGAAAAGAAGCATTCCACCTTAGTCCTCAGAGGTATGGGATTTTAATTCTTAATCGTTATACTATAGCATCCATTTACTATCAGTACGACTGTGTGCACGTTTGTCACCCTTATTCCATTGAAAATAGTCTGCTTATTTATAAGTACTAATTAGAGTATTTACTTTGTCCCGTATGAGAATGATATGGTACACAGTAAATTGCCCCTATTTACTTAACTGCTGTAAAATGCACATTCCCAGTAATTAAGTTTATATAATATTATGTTTAATTATTTAAATGTTACTAACATTCCTTTACGAACCAAAATATAAGTTCTTGTAATTTGAAATATAATAATAAATAAAAGTAATAATTAGTTTTTCATTTTTCTTTAAACGACAATATACTTAATTTATTTTATGGCTAACTTTTATCTGATGCTCGCGTACTGTGAAATTTACAGCGAGTACTAACCATCTGAGCTACCACGGCTCTGTAAGTATATATTATAGTGAAATTGTAAGAGAAAGAATTAATACATTTAATATTTTTTTGAAATTTTAATTGGAGTACTTTAGGATTTTTTTACGGATAGTGTACACTACAAATTCTAAAACAATAATTTTTGGAAACTTTGTCAGTCTGTCTGTCTAAACTCTTAATAAAACTATCAATATACACATATTGTCTACGTCGTGTTTCGCTGCGTGGACACTCTACATGGAATGTTTTGTTTATTATACGCCTGTGGTGACGAATTTAAAATTATTTCGGCACTAGCAGCCATAAATAAAATAGAGAATTGCTGCTATCAGTAAGACCGCCCGTTGTATACTTCTTTTGTATAAATAATTTCTGTCTATAAATAATAATTTACTTGTATGTGTATAAATAATAATAGTCTTATAAGGTGTGCAATACAGAATATTAAATAAATAAATACAGAAGACATTCAAAACTCAAAAATAACATTTTAAAATACAATTAAAAATGATGAAGTCTAAGCTATGCATGATAAGCCCGATATGATATATAGATGATAATTTATCCGCATAAACATGGGTATATCTATATTTTTAAAAGTTCAGTAGCAATTCATTAATTATGGAAAATTACTATTTTTTAGAATAAGAGCTATAAACGAGCAAACAGTCCGCCTGATGGTAAGTGAATGCTATGGCCTATAGACATCTTTATCTATCTGTGATTAATAATCAAAATGCATACGTGCTGTCATCCCTTAGGACTAACATGAAATGCCACGTTTCCAGTAAAAAGCATCTCCGGTTTTCTACACCATATGAAACACAGTAGCACTAAGCGGCTATTTTAAACCAGTATTCTGTGAGAGTGTGGTCCTTACCCAGGTATATGTTTTATATAAACACTTTCGTACACTGTGTTACCCGGTTGAAACAACGATTCGTGCTACAGCTCCGACCATAGCTCTACCTCGTGTAAAATTGAAGTCAAGCTTAAAGTTACAGTCCTATTAGGATGTAGCAGTATATACGAGTACATCCCAATCCAGATTACAGGCTTCATCTCATATCTGAGATGGGCGGACTTCACATGTCTTTAAATTTTTGTGTAATTTCTCAGGCATGCAGGTTTCCTGGCGATTTACAGTACCTCGTGCTGGAGTGCGTGGTAAATCTAACGCATAGAAGTACGTTTACTTATATATTTAAATAATGTAAGGAAGAGTCAGCAATAGCAGATTTCAAATTATATTTAATCATAGCGAAAGGATATTTTATGAAAAGTGCATTGACAATTGTACCCAGGGCCTTTCGTAGACTGCTTGGACCGACCCGTATTATAGACATATTGAACGCGTACGATCTCTGCTTACAGCTTCATTCGCCTCAAAGCTAGGCAAAAAAGAGTTGGAACTATTCAGATAAGGGCATTAGGTCTTTTAAAGAGGAGAATGATTCATGTTCTATTTTATCTGTTTGTTACTTTAGTTTGTAAAGAAATCTTGATTATATGATACTACTAGCTGCCCATCCTGGCTTCGTCTGGCTTGGATTAACGGGCATCATTGAAGTTTTTCGATTTTTTTCAATTACATTAAAAAAAACATGCGTTAGTGTCGTGGAACACTCGGTTGGAACGAAGTTCCTTATTATTGATAAACGTATTGTATTAGTGATTAACAGTTTTAGTTTTTTTTTATTAGTTTTATTAGTTTAGTTTTTAATATTGTATATAATTAATATATTAGAAAATACAAATAAATGTATTACTAGCTTCTATTAAAATGAAGCCTCATTTAAAATAAAATACACTATGACACAAGGGGTAGTGTAGAAAAAGTCTTACACGTTTTGTAAACCTGTACCGTCCGATAAGGAACTTCGTTTCAAAATGTCCAAGCTTTTAAGATAAAATATAGTCTTCTTCTTCGTCACTTCTGGCATTGCTCTCTATCTGTTAGTGAAGTTTCTTCATAATCGCTTCAGCACTTTCGAAGACTTTCCCGAACAGAAAGACGCATGACTAAATATAATTATTTTATTAATCGCTTTAATTTCGATAAATACATTTTATTACGCCTATACTGTTTCTTAAAAAATATTTTCATTATTAAGTGTAAGAGAACATATTGCCATAATAAGTACAACATATCAGTTACGAGTACAGTAGGTTTTCACATTTCATCGTGACAATTAATATCAATGAAGTCACGAAAAGAGCAAATAATTATATTAACAGCTTACCAACATAATATCACGGCGAAAAACGTCATGAAAACCAACAACTTGTCACCCCAATTTGATTTTGTTGTCTCAGGGAATAAGGCTCCTGTTTCTATCTCATCGCCGCTATTTGAACTTGATATAAGTGCCAAGATACCCAAAATTATAAGGTATGAAGGTATTATTAAAGCGATACAGATGAAGAGCACGATGAATGCCAGGAACGTTGATTCTAATTTAATGGACTGCAAAAACAGAAACCACATTAAATTTGTTTTGTTTATTCTTATGTTAAAAAATTATCATTTTAAATGTGTTAAAACCACGCTACAGCTATATTATGTTTGCAGCACCAAACGGGTCGGGTCGGCTTGCCCGGAGGAGGACTAAGCTCTCACCGTATACCAGTGTAAAATAGCAACTTAATGCTGCTGTGTTTTGTATTGTGAGTGTAGAGAACAGGATACCCTTTTAACTGGTAACTCAGGGTTGACAACATATCTACTTTTTGATTTTTAATCGAAAATAGAAGTAGGCCATATCTCTATAGGCCACAGCATCCAATTACCGTCGGTGGAATATGTGTTCGGTTGTCACCCACATTCTACAAAATGTTGAAGTTTATGTGATGTTTCTGTGACACCTTTTAGCTTATCAAATAAAACTGTAGAGTAATTACTAGGTTAGACATGCAGGAATTCTATGGATGCAAATATTTTCTAAAATGACACTCTGTACAATTTGAAAGTCAATTGTAAAATAATTGTAAAGATAGAAAAATAATTTAACCCTCCTTCAATAAAAAATATTTTTAGTTTAGGAGAAAAAAATTTTTTTTTTACTCCTAAACTAAAAATTTTAAAATTTACTTTGATTATTAAAATATTTATTTTTAGTAAATAGTACTATTCGCAGAACTTAATATTATAGTGCTTAGGCACGAAAATTCAATAAAGAAGGGTCAGCCGTGTTTACCTATTATACGTGCTCCAGCATTTGTTCAGATGTAAACATACTTATCTATTGTAAGTCTATCTTGTATTTCTCAGACAAATGAATATTTTATTCTTATGAGAAATAACTTTCTTAAACCAGAATCTGAATGAATTGATCGAAGACCTTAATAGATTTTATTCGTTGCTACAATACTTCATAGACGTGGAGTTCGAAGTAAATATTTATTCGGTTATAATAACATTTGATTTAGATATATTGTAATAAAATTACTATAAAAAACAAAACTGTGAAAATAAAGCATAAGAAAGTCGAAGGGTTCGAATTTACTATTCTACTACAATGGTAAAGCACACTTAACACAATCATTTAAGCTTAAAGAAAATCGTAAAAAGTATCGATGTTCCTGATATTGCAGAGACTGTCTCTTATAACAATTTTATTATCTGATAAAATATGCCAAGATTAAAATTTGTCAATTTGACAGTTTTCAGTTTTTTACGTGGTAGAGCTATGCTGCTGTTATAGTAGTAGTATAGCTGTAGCACGAATGGGTCGACTCGACCGAGGAAGGACCACGCTCTCACAGAATATCAGCTTAACACTGCTGTATTTCGTATGATGAGTGTAGAGAACCAGAGACAGATTTTACTGGAATAGAGGTATTCCATCCTATTCCTTACAGGGGACAACGCATCTGCATATTGATTCTTTATTGAGGACAGATGTAGATCTCTATGGGTCACAGCAATCACTTACCAATCACTTACCAATCACTTACCATCAGGTGGACTGTGTGCTTTTTGTCATCCTATCATGTAAAAAAAAACTAATTTTCGTAGAATACATTAAATCAATTAAGTAGTAAATAACGCGAGCGGAAGAGACGCATCGATGTCGCCGTTTAGCTTTTGCTTCTATAATGACATTATTTAGATATGAAAACTTTATATTTTATAATAAACTAGCTGTGTCCCGTGACTTCGCCCGCGTGGAATTTACTACGATTTTATGGATATCAATTTTTTTGCGTGGAACCCTAATTTTGTTTTTGGGTAATGTTCTTATAAATATTGACAAATATTGACATTAATATTTATACGATACTAACGTCACTCAATTGTTTTGCCTTCTCGGAACCCCTCCACTAACACTTAAGCTTTATTATATAGTATTAAAGCTCAAATTGACTTTTAAGTATTATTACGAATCTTTTGTATGGGAATATAGAAAACTGTTGTTTTTAGACTTTTTCAGGCAATTTTTTAAATTTTTTCTCTTCGTAAGAACCATCTTTGTACTTCAAGGAATATTATTAAAAAAAAATTAGCGAAATCGGTTCAGCTGCTCTCGAGATTTGCGCTTAGCAACACATTCAGCTATTCATTTTTATATTATAGACTAGCGGACTCGGCGAACTTCGTACCGCCTAACAGTCGATTCTTTAATTTAAAAAAAAACTTATTCTGCTCTTCGGGACACCGGGTCAGCTAGTAAGATAAAAAAAGAAAAAAGAAAGTTGATAAGTTAACAATTAAATTATGTCTTTTGTATGGGAATATAGAAAAGTGTTGTTTTTAGACTTTTTCAGGCAATTTTTTTAAATTTTTCCCTACGTAAGAATCATCTTCGTACTTCTAGGAATATTATAAAAAAAGAATTAGCGAAATCGGTTCAGCTGCTCTCGAGATTTGCGCTTAGCAACACATTCAGCGATTCATTTTTATATTATAGAAGATTATAGAGTCACGCTGCAGTAATATTATGGTTTACAGTAGGGATGTTACGGAAGTGGTTATATCGGAACCGAATTCGGAAGCGGAGTTTTAAAATTCCATTTGTCGGAACCGGAACCGAAATCGGAACCGGAATCGGAAATGGAGGCAGAAAAGATGTGTTAAGGGCAGGTCTATTGCACTGTATTTTTCTTTTCTGTTTTAATTTTATTGAATTCTTCCAATTCAGTGGCATGCACAAACTTTAAATGACTCTTTAACGAAGTAGTCGTACCTCCTTTTCGTAAATATATCTTCTCACATAGTTTACACTTTGCTGTATTCCCAGAAACTTCATTGAAATAATTCCGAATGGCACTTGATTTTGGCTTCATTGTCCAATTCAAATAAATCTGTTACACGTCAAATCAAACACTACTAAAACTAATCAAAACCTCGGATGAGTATAAATGAAGAGCGAACGCATAACATGCCAACCAATTGCGAAATACGAAACAAAACATCAAATTAAAGTGTAATCGACAGTAAATCGAAGGCACGGGGGAGGGAGTTTCCCGAGGCGACAAGTATAAACTTGTTCACTGTGCATCGACCTCCGATATAAAACTTCCGATTAAAATTTAACGGAACCGAAATTGGAATCGAAGGTGCAAAATCAATCGGAAGTTCCGAACTTTCGGAATCGGAATCGAACCTCCGTAACATCACTAATTTACAGCATGAATGGGTCAGCTCGACCGGGGAACGACCACGCCTTCCAGAATACCAGCTTAGTGTAAAATAGCAGCTTGTAGCTGCTGTGTTTCGCATGGTGGGTGTAGATAACCGGAGACTCTTTTTACTGGTTCCGAGGCATTCAATATTAATCCTCGTGGGTGACAACGCATTTCTATTTTGATACTTTATTAAGTATCTAGTATAAGTAGGATAAACTTAGTTGTCTATGGACTACATCATTCACTTACTATCAGGTGGACTGTGTGTTCGTTAGTCACCCTTATTCTATATAAAAAATGGGTTTGTTTGTTTGTAGTTTTTAATCCGAATTGGAACTAAAAGGTTTGTTTCGTCTTCCGTAATGCGTACAGCAAAGTATTGGAATAATTTGCCGGCGTCTGTCTTTCCGTCCGAATACAATCTGGGCGTCTTCAAGGCACGAGAGAATAGACGTTTGTAATGCTAAGACCTATTTATATATATCTATATATACCGTCTACAGCTCCATCAACACTTACTGTCACGTGATATTGTGGTCAAGCACTGCATCAAGCACATATTTAAAGTAACATTTTTTTACTCTACTGCAATTAATTACCAAGTCCGAAGATAAACAAATCTAATATTTTCGAGGCTTGTCCTACGTGCATTTAGAACAACAAAAACCTACTACCTACCCGAGATATTAGTTGCATAATATGCGATGCATAGTGTTAAGTAGCACGGGGGTAATGTATATCACAATACAATTACTAGCCCGGAAGTTGACGCATAGTAGTGTTCGAGCAATGATTCACTTTATTTCATTCATCAAGGGTATTCTATAATATGACACTATTTACGTATTTTTACCAAATCATGAATATATTTCCTATTCTTTTCCTATTCAATAAACAAATCCTCATTTAAAAAATCACAAGTCAAGTGCGAACACAGTACGCAAGTATACTGTTATAAGATTTAAAAAGAACAAAAAAGGAAACATCGCAAAAGGAACTTAAACCATTTTGATGATGCTAAGAGATGCACGGAATATTTTAAGATTGTGACATACCTATATTTGTACTCTTATAATACGAATACAATGCACCAACGTCGGCACATCCCGATGAAGAAGTAGAGGAAATGTATGAGGATATATCTAGAGTTATGCATTCCTCCAAAACCAACTATACGGTGTTAATGGGAGACTGCATTGCTAAACTAAGCACAAGAGAGAACGATGAGCTGAAGATAGGGAAATTTGGGATAGGGCAACGGGATCCAAGGGGCCAGCAGCTGGCCGATTTCTTTAGGAGATAGACTTTTTATGATGAACTCTTTCTTCCAGAAGCGTCCACATAGAAAGTGGGCCTGTTTTGACAAAAAATGAGAGTCCCGACGGTTGGAAAAAAAATTATATCGACTTCATTGTGATGACTAGTCAGCAACTGTTCAGTGATATTTCAATGATTGCAAGGGTGAAAAGTGGCAGCGATTACGAATGGTGAGAGGCACACTGAACCTTAAGAGAGAGGAGAGGTCACGTCTAATGAAGTCAATTTTCGATCCCAAGAATACAGCAATGCACTGGACGATATTTATGACAAGCTTGTGGAAACTGTACATGCGTTCGGAGCTAAGATCTTCATTTTCGAGTGTAGTATTTTGAACAACTTTACGTAGTAATCTTTGTTTTGTCCATGTCAATTTAAAACATTTTGTGATATCCATTATTTGATAGTGCAACCATCTGAAATATATCCAAATCTTATAATAATAAAGAAAAACGAGTTATCCGACCTAATATTATCGTATATTAAAATTAATTGTGCATGAAATAAACGACCAACGTTTTT